CGGGGCCGGGCGGGCACGGGGGGAGATAAACCTCCGTGAAATGTTAAGACACTGAAACTGTCACAGTGTGAAGGACGGGGGGAAAACGGGGTTGGTCGTTTTGCTTTTAGGATTCTTACCCGACTCTGTATTTCTGTATTTTCCTCCCTGTTTGTCACATTCACCTTGGCCTGTTCCAGAATCTGCAGCAGCTGTTTTTTGGTTTCCGTATAAGAAAGGCAGGCACCATGAACAAATGCAAGTTTAAGAGACATCCTGATAATTTTAAGCTACCAGAAATAGACCCCATTTGTAAGCAGCTCTTACAGCCAGGATTTCCATGGAAACATTAATACAGACATCTTGAGCCAATTAGAATAATATAGAGCAGCTCTGCCACACAGACTGAGTACCTCTCTTGAGAGTCTGTCTCTTGATCATTGTTTTTTTTTAAGCACAGAAAAAGCACAAGATAAGATGTATCTATGTGAGGTGTGTTTCTTTATTTAGCACTTCAAAAATAGCTCATATTTACATTTCCAAGCAAAAGTAATAAATGCCTTTATAGCAACAGTGGCATTAAGTTAATAAACTAAAAATGGAAGAGTTATGGTTAAGAGTAAAGAGATTTTCTTAAAAGAACCAGTTAAAAATTAGGCTGTGTTAAGTTCTTTTTATAATTTTTCTTATTTTTTAGAGGCTGGTGTTTGTTGATATCTAGCCATATTTCTTATTTCATTTTAACACATTTTAACTTCTTTATGAAGTTACAGTATGCTTGGTGTGAACATAAATGAGATGCTACTGCTCCCTATACTAAGGAACATCAAAGCTAAGCCAAGACCTATGGATATTTATACAAATATTCTCAAAATTAAGGATATAGAATTCTAAAATGGCCATTTGCTTAAGACTTTTTATGATTAGGTTGTGGTTTGGACATGGTCAGCATATAGCTGGAGTCCAAGTAACTGTCCAAATCATTTGGACTTCCCTGCTGAGTGTGAGTGTTACATTACTGAGTGTTCCTGTCTGATTTCTCTCTTTCAGGTCTCATCCAGATTTACTTTAGACAGTGTCCATAAAAAGTCAGGCAAAATGATCCTGCAAACACTATGCATATGATGACTTTCACTGTTGTTTGTAGATGTATTCTTAAATATTTAAATTAAATATGGATGCAGAGCTGGCTAAAGATTTTTCTGTCTTATGACCCAAGTGAATTTTGCCTTGAAGGATAAATGGCTAAAGTGGTAGGAAGAGGAATGGGATTATGGCTGGGAGAGAGAAGCCTTTGCGAGAAGCCAGGCTTTCTACTCTGGATTAGTGGAAGGCTGAAGCTCACGGCCAGTCATGGCCTCATGATGTGCCTTGCACACCCTCCTCTTTTTCTCCTCTTCCCCTCACATGAATAGCAGCAGCAGACCAGACTTTCTGGGTCTCTGGAAGAGACTAAGTTGGCAACCATTTTGTCACAGTTTTGCATCAGTTTCGTTGTCACTGTTAATTTGCTGCTTTGGTCTGCTGCCCACCTTGCTAGAGCTCCTTCTGAGGATGGCAGGCTTTGAGTGTCTTTGCAAAATGCTTCTGGTTTTAGTGTGTAGTCTCTTATTGCAGGTAAACATGAAAAAAAAAATATTTAATATTTATAACACTGCATTTACATTTAAGCAAGGTATTATGGAATAGCTAAAATGTATAAATGATAGTGTAGTTTGAATACACAGTGAACAGCACATCTTCCACAGTGGAAGTACAAGGATGGGAAATAACACACATTTCTATCAACAAATCAAAATAATATAATCCATATCTTTCTTGGTAATTTTTTTTTATATTGATCTAATCTACCACTTTGTATAACAGTCATCATCACTGTAATGCTTAGAAACCTAAATAATGACTCAAGATATCATGTTGTGCTGGGTGCTATACATTTATCAACAAAATACTATCAACAGATAAGTTGCTAAGCTGCTATCCATCACATGTGAGAAGAGGTGGCAGTCCAGTGAAGTTGCCCCTGTCTGGAAAAGGGGAACCATAGCCTCTATTTTCAAGAAGGGGAAAAAGGAGGACCCAGGGAACTACAGGCCAGTCAGCCTCACCTCTGTGCCCAGCGAGATCATGGAGCAGTTCCTTCTGGACACTATGCTAGGGCACATGGAAACTAAGGAGGTGACTGGGGACAGCCAACATGATCTCACTGAGGGCAAATCATGCCAAGACAAATTTGGTGGCCTTCTGTGGTGGGGTTAAAGCATCAGTGGATAAGGGAAGAGCAATTGATGTCATCTACTTGGACTTGTGCAAAGCATTTGACACTGTTCTACATGACAACTTTGTCTCTAAATTGGAGAGACATGGGTTTTGACTGGTGGACCACTTGGTGGATAAGGAAGGGGCTGGATGGCTGGGCTCAAAAAAGAGCTGGGGTCAAGGGCTTGATGTCAAAGTGGAGACCAACGGTGAGTGGTGTTCCTCGTGGTCAGTACTGGGACCAGTGGTATTGAACATCCTTGGTGTTAACATGGTCAGTGGGATTGAGTGCACCCTCAGCAAGTGTGGAGATGACACCAAGCAGTGTGGCTTGTTCGACACACTGGAAGGAAGGGATGTCATCCAGAGATCCCTTGTCAGGCTTGAGAAGTGGGCCTGTGTGAACCTCATGAGGTTCAACAAGGTCAAGTGCAAGGTCCTGCATCTGGGTCAGAACAGTACCTACAGGGGGCCTACAGGAAAGATGGGCAGGGACTCTTTATCAGGGAGTGTAGTGATAAGACAAGGGGTAATGGCTTTAACCTGAAAGAGGGTAGGATTACATTAGATACAAGGAAGAGATTCTTCGCTACAAGGGTGGTGAGACACTGGGACAGGTTGCCTGGAGAAGCTGTGGATACCCCCTCTCAGGAAGTGTTCAAGGCCAGGCTGGATGGGGCTTTGAGCAACTTGATCTAGTGGAAGGTGTCCCTGCCTGTTGTAGGGCATTTGCAATTAGATTATTTTTAAAGTCCTTCCTAACCCAAACCATTCTGTGATGATTCTATGATATAAAAACCTAACCTAAGTATTTAATTCTAGACTGATAACTTAGTTGCACTGTAGCTGTTATGCTGATTTGGGTTTTTTTAATACTTCTTTGGTAGTTGGTTATCTGGAGGTTGCAATGACTTGTGACTAATGATCATTTGGTGTATGAGTATATTTTTAATTGCTTACTATTCTGAATAAATAAAATTTATAGGTTGAAAAAGTTGTTGCTAGACTCTTTCAGATTGCTGGGAGTCTTGTAGAAGTCTAATAGAAATAGCCAGATTTGTGGAGCTTAGTTGTTTTTGATTTTACACCTGGCCCAAGCATTACTGAGGAGTATCTGAATGAGTACTGAGAGACCAGGTGTTGCAATTCCTTCCATATTTGAGTTTGACAAAGGAATTCTCAAATGGTAAACAGAGGCCTTGCACTCCAGTATAAGGTAGAATAGTTTGCGTTTCCTTTGGTGGAGACCTTTCAGAACATCCAAAGGAAAATAGTTGTTTGAGTTTGTTTGAAAAAGGGGGAAAAAAAGATAAAACCTGATATCATAAAAACTGGCATTCTTATGGCAGACAGTGACTTCATCCAGCAGAGGGAGTAGCCGACCAGCGTTGGGGTTGGCTTTGGGAAATCCCTCCTTAGGAAAATTTGTAATGAAAGCCGTTTGACTGCCGGTATAGTATTTAAAATGATGTTATATGGCATGAATTACAATGATGAGTGAACTGTTTCTGACATTTGCTTAATATAGTCAACCATCAAGATACACCTCATAAATTACATTTTTGTTGAGAAGATTGAAGAGACGGTAAGAATCAGTGTATTGATTAGTGTTATAAATATTCAAAGTGTTAAACTGAAGACAGTTGCCTTTCGTTGTGCCTGTACATAAAGGAATGTTTTTCTTTGCCTTCTTGTACTGATCTTAACATAGTCATAGAATAGTTTGAGTTGGAAGGAACCTTCAACGATCATCTTGTCCAACCACCCTGCTGTGGTCAGAGATGTCTTTCACTAGACGAGGTTGCTCAAAGTCTCGTTCAGCCTGACTTTGAACATTTCCAGTGATGGGGCATCCACAACTTCTGTTCAACAGCCCTTGGAGATGCCTTCCAATTTACCTTTCTGTGTGATTGGTTTTGTCTATAGTCTTCTAATTAGCACATGAAAGGCCTCTGCAGCATGCAGAAGTTCTCAGGCTGCTCCCTCTACCTGCTGCCCTGCTCTCTGCTGCTACAGAGTGAGGTCGCACTTGACAGGGTGGGTGCCTTTTCTCCCCTCTGTGTTGAGCCTGTTCTGCTCTACAGCCATCGTGCAGTTTTGGGTTAGAGCCTTCCTCTTTTCCCTTGTCCTCCCACCATGCTTCCTGACAGGGATTCAAGCCCATGCTCAACATTAATGTAGTGGTAGCAAGGGGCCCTGTCTTGAAAGCAAGCAGTGTTTCATCATTTGAGTTTGCACAGTGAGTAAACCAATATATCATTGTGTTGTCTTTATCCATCAAACGTGTAGCAGTTGCTTCAAATATTTTCTGGTTTTAAAATTCAGTTTTATATTTATATAGACCAGCTGTGTTACAGTAATAACAAGTCAGAATCAATACGGATGTTAGAAAATGCGGAAAGTATTTCTGCCCACTGAATGTATAGGTGAAAAGCCATTGTTTGGGAAAACTAAACGTGAGTGGATGGTGAATTGCATAGTCGGAATTGTGATGATGAGCTTACAGAGGCCAGAGCAGACTGAATGACAACATCTAGATGTGTACCATCCAGCTGCACCATGGGGAGTGGTGGCAGTGAAAAGTGGGCAAAGAAAAACGGTTCTCTAAGTGTCAGGGCTAGAAGAAAATTTAAAAACTCGGATGTTGTTTTTGTGATAACTTATAAAAGCTAGTTCCTTTATAACAGACAGAGGGAAATATTAACAAGAGAGTGTGTCCCAGGCCAGCATCTTTTACATTCATGTAGATTAATGTCTAGTTAAAGATATGCAGTCATGTTATGAAATTTTTAACAGGCATAAAACCTTCTAGTGTATAGTTTCCATTAAATATTCACTTAGATAACAGCAATTTGCTGATAAACTTTTAAGAACCAATATACTTGGGATGTTCTTGCTGTATGTGAGCTCACAATGCAAAAAAAAATTTATCTTTGTCCTTTATCTGAAAGGGAAAAATGAGAAAAATGGTTTATTGGTTATTGTATGTTATTACTAAAAGGCAATACAAAGTAATGTGATAACACAGTCTTGAACAGGAAATCTTTTTTTAAACTGCATTTTGTTCTCAATAGTGGTTACAAGATCAATTTCTGGCCATGCTTCCCATCTGACATACTCTCTAATCCATTGGATTAATCTTGTTTTAAATCCTGGTTTTCATTCAGTAAATAACATTATCCAATCTTCTACATATTCCTTCTTTAATGCACATTAAAAAGAATTGTATTCTAAGCAGGACTTGTTACAGAAATACCATATACTTTATGACTATCCTAAACCCAGGGCTTTGAAATCTAACAACAGAAATATGCCAGTACATGCAGTACTACCTTTAAAAACTGAATGAAAGGGAAGTGATGAAAAGCAATGCCTCTCTTTTATGATATTTTAAAAGATGATAACAAACTTGTGTTTATTGTAACAGTTTCATATCTAGATGCTACTTTGTTGTTAACACAGAGGCATTAATCTGGAGTTTCTTTTTGCAGGTGCTGCTTTGTGGTGTAATTGTTATGCGTCCAGATGATCCACTTAGGTTTTTAGAAGAAAAGCTCAGAGAAATAATGGAAAAGGGACTAGATGCTGTCACGTGGTAAATACTAAAGAACTGTGTGTGTGCTATGTGATTTACTGTACTGAACTTGCACTTTTAAAACATGCTACTGGCACAGCATCTACCGTGTAGACTGCAAGTTAAATGTTAATGCTGCCTTTTTTTTTTTTTTTTTTCAAATGTTAATGGCATATGATATTGCAAACACAATAAGACTATGTAACCTAGATTTAGTGCTTTTCTTTGTTTAGTTGATATATTAAACCTTACTTTTGTGATAATCAAAACTGGGGTAGTATTACTTGTTATAACTTCATTGCTCCCCTCAGTATATTTGCCCATATGAACCAGGGATGTGGCCTTCAAGCACTGAATCATTAATTGTAGTATTTCTCATATTTTCTCTTTTTGGTGGATTCTTTCACCCCTTAAAGTGAAGTTATCACAGTGTGAGATTAAAAAGACAAAGGATTTAGTTCTGTTTACACCTGAATCTTAGAAAATATTGTGATTGACTTAAATGGGAGCAGGCTTTGGTTTCTAAAATATGGGCAACTTCAAAACAACTTACTTACCTAGACATGGCATGGTCTGTCCGCAACAGCAGGAAACGTTGCTCCAGCTACTGAAAAATTGAAATGTCTCTTCAGTCAATATTAAGATAAAAACTAAAACAGTATAATCTGATAGGAAATGTCCAATTACCTGGAATGTATAAATCTCTAACGTACACATAGCTCTAAGAGCAGCAATAAAACCTGATTATTTTTTTTTCATATTTTGTAAACACATTTGAAAAATGGCTGCTGTAGGTACTTATAATGAAAGTGATGTAGGTCTTAGTCTTTTAATAATAACTTTATAAGACCATAACATGTAACTGTAATCTGTTAGGTACAGAGAAGAGATGCCTTTTCTTGTGGGGATACTAATATGGTTAATATAATTTACTTCTCTTTTACAGGTATATGTGTATTGATCTGTCTTTACACCCCAAATTAAAGAAGATTTCAGAAACTTGCCTGAACACTATTTTTGGACTAGATGGTGGACAACTGGTAAAAGTCATTGAACATTGCATTAACCCTATGCAGTGAACAAATCTTTTAGGACAGAATACTCATGTTCTGTTTTTAAGTATTCTCATGTTACTCTTCTATAGCTAATGCAAGGAATATACTTTGCATTTCTTTCTGTTGATACTGATTTGTCTCTAAAACATAATGCCATCAGAGATGAGCATAGCATCTAGGTGTATGGCAGGGAAAAACTAGTTCCTGTTTCATAATTTAAAAAAGAGTTCCACATAAATATGAATCTAGTTTTAATAGTGTGGTTTTTTTCTCTGCATTATTTAGTTTTACTTAGGCCTGTAGAAAAGAAAAACTGTTATTTTAAAACATGTAGAGAAGGAGACATTTGCTATGTGATCATGCAAGGAAGCAGTCTAAGCAATTTAGTCAGTAAGCTGGCATGCAGTGTGACCAGATCTTTCTCTTAGTTATCTCTGTATATTTTGTCTTCTCTTAGCACTTCTGTACTGTGAGTTTGCTGAAATTTCATTTCATCTGTTTCCTCTTTTACCAACCAGTCAAGTATTATATTAATCAGTCTAAAAGTGGAATGGTTGACATATAAAATATGTGTATCAAATATACAAATGTATATCAAATCCTCTCATAGATTTTCATAGGAGTAAGAACAGTTAATTAGACAAAACCCAGTACTTTCTGAGGACCAGCTGCTATTTCCACATTCAAAGGACTGTGTTTTCTTCTACAAGGGTGTTCCTAGCCCATAGGCTTACACAGTTTTAATTTGGTAGAAGCCGAAACAGGTTTATTAAACTACCTGTGTGTTAGAATCATATGGTAGATGGTTTACATACAAAGGGATCATGAAAAGGTTTTTGCAAAGCATAGCTAGAGTATTTGTTTAATATGCTAAATTGCTGGGTACAGCTGATGAGTAGAGTGGATAAGAGGGATGAAAGTCTGAGTTTCAGTTATTGAGCTTTCCCTCAAGCACACAGATTAGTTCTGTTTTGTACACTAATTGAGCTTTTCCTTTAACTTCTGTGCATAAAAACAGGAGTGTAATTTGGTAGCAAAGTATTTCTAACTCTACACAGAAAATTATACTTGAACATTCATCTCTTCAAAAATAGATATTTAAATGTTCAACAATCAACATGGAATATATAAGGTTTCATATTTTTGTCTGATTTTTTAATATTCATAATATAGCACTGTCTTGTGTACTATAATAATATAACAAACATTGTAAGATAAGTACAATAATAATATAACAAATCGTCAATGATTTGTTTAGATGACTGGAGAGTTATGTACCAAAGCATGGGACTTTTACAGCAGAAACTTAATGAAGCTGTATTTTGGGTAAGTATATGCATTTTACATATACCTGAGGAACATCCTAGGAAAAATCTTTTACCAAAGGAATATTTATGTAGTTCCATTCTGGGAGGAAGACATTTTTGTTTTAATAGAACAACATGCAGAGAGATTAGAAACTTATGTTTGAGTTTATTTTTCTTCAGCAAAGTTATTCTGTGTTAAAAGTAGTAAATTCTGAATTTTTGCCTGTTCCAGACTTGAACAAAGTCCTTTGTAATTTCTGTACTTTATTCAACTCTATTTGCCAAGAATATGATAGTATACCCAGGAATGAAAGGGTAATTTTCATTTGGGTCTAAAAGTAAAAAATCTGTGTTCTCTTCTGCTCATAAAGTTTTCTTTATGATTTGAAGTAGGTAACTCATACTTTAAATAATCTACAGTTTCCTTTTAAAAATGGGGATAATCCATAGATACATTTTAAAATATGATAATCACAATAAATAAACATATTCACTGATCTCTTTGTTATAAGCATGTATATAAAAATTTCATGATCCTCCATTTAGAACAGATACTTTTGGGCTACTTTGTTTTGAAAAGCATAGAACACTAATTCTGTACGAGATACAACTCTCATAGGAACACTGGTGTCAACCCTTATTAAGTATCACGGGACTAGTAGGGAGGTGAAGATTTACAGGGTGTACTGGGGTTAGCCTTGGTGAACATCTGTCTAGGCTGTGTTTAGTCTTTAGTGGAATCAAGCAAGTTTTTATTGCTCTGTACTGTAGAATATTAAAAGCAAGCAGAAATTTTATTGAAATGAGTGAATGAATTCCTACTGAAAATATTATCAATGCACATTTTATTTAAATTATAAATAACAAACAGTTCTATTCAGGAGTTTATATTGTTGAACTTGTCCGTTTAGTATTTTGCAGCAAATTGCAGAGTTTTGTAGATTTTACTTTACTCAGGTTGGGAGCCATATTAAATGACTCATTCTCTTTTAAAATTCAGAGGATGGATGAAATATAACCTGCTGAGAAAGAACAAAAGAAAAAAGGCAAAGCAGAAGATGGTTCTAGCAATAGGCCATTATAACATCCAAATATTAAGAATAATTATACAGAACTGGAGCACGTGGGTGCAGATTCACAAGGAAAAAACGACGTGTAAGTCCATATAGCTGCTTTGCATAAGGAAGAAAATACATGCTATATAAAAATAAATTACACAGAATTTAAGTTAAGTTTCTGCAGAAAATTGCACTTATTTCTTCCTATTTTTATTTCAGTGGCTGTGAAGAACAGTTTATTTCAATTGCATTTATAGTACCTATTGCAATGGTCTTAATTATATCTATTGTAAAAAGTTATTTCCTTAAAGAAGCTGAATTGTATAGCTGTTTTGTTGAAACGTTATTTAATAGACAGTCATTCATCTAAAGCATTTAAATGACATACTTTTTCTTACTTGTGGTCCTCAAAATGGTTATAATTACGTGTATTTTCAGTGGCAACAAAGAAACTGCAACAGATCTTTAACAAGACATATTTAAGTTCTGTTTTGAGAGCTTGGTGTGAAGAGGCCCACAGTTCTTTGAAAACAAAAGCATATTTTGAGGTATGTGGTATAATACTTTAAATATAGTAAGCTCTGTCTTTAAAGAGTAACTCAATTAATTCCAACTGTTATGGAAAAACAGCTCTATCAATATTAAAGGAAGCATTTCAGTGTACTACTGCTAATACTACTATTTTGTCCTTATGCTGTTCTGGGAAGCAGATTGTTACCTCTGTATTCTGTGGGTAAAAGTTTGGTCATATCTTAAGCATCAGAGAGGGTTGAATGTTGTTATGGATTATCAGTGATCTATCTGGCTTGGATTAGGTGACTGGTGTCTTAGGGGTAGTATTACCAGTTGAGATGATAATCGGTAAAGATGATGCCTCTGGGTCCCTGCCACCACTGTCCAAGAGGTGTAGATTCCTGCAGAGTGAGGAGAATCCTCAGTAACTTCATCTCCTCCCCAGAAGTGTGGGATAAGCAAAATGGTGATCACCTGAGAGCAGTCAACACATGGACAGCCTCATATGCCCCACGACCAGCAGCCATGACTGGTCTCACTGTGAAAAACAGGGCTCTTCTCATTTCTGGGAAGGTTTCTTCTCCCAAGGAAAAGAATGCCAGAGCTTGGTGGGGTGCTCAGCAGACACCGTGTGGGGAAGTGGAGAGATGAGAGCTGTAAGACCCAGCAGCTGCTGATGGCATGGGGGTTCCAAAATTGCACACACAGAGATAAAGTTCTCCCACTGCTTGGCTCCTTTTCCTTCCCCTGCTGTAGGATGGTTGGAGTGCAAACCAGCTGCTTCTTCTCCCTCCCACAGATGTTCTTCCTGGTGTCTTAAAATATTAGTCTGACTGGCTCGAGTGCACAAAAGATATCCTGTTTCTGGAGCATATCAGGCTGTTCTTAGGGAATAATATTCTTTAATTATTTCCATTCTTAATAGCAACTGCAAGGCCTGGTTTGACTTCCATAGTTAGATCAGAATGTGTATAAATGAAAGCGCATCACCAAATCCACAATTTTTGATGGTGTACTTCCGTTTTGTGTACACTTGTGTAGGCATTTTGAGTGCAGTTAAGTCACCTAAACAGGTTTTTGGTGTAACTCAGCACACCCTGAGATATCTCAGGCAAGGCTAAACCAGACAGGCCTCCAGCTTAAACCTCAAGAAGTGCAAGAATCCTCTGCCAGTCCTATGTCATATCTACCAGTCTTTTGTGGGTAACTTGGATAATCTAGATGACATTGATTTTAAAATGCAGAATTAAACAATCAGTGATCATAATATGTAATAAACTTAATAAGCCAGAAGAACTCACTTTGCTACTAAGAGGCAAATACATTTTCCGAATGGGAAGTTAAAATCTAGAGCTCATTACTTCCACTTTGTTCTAGAAAAGCCAGAGCTTTCCTATCCCCCTGTTTTCTTCCTTCCTCTTTTCTTTGTTCCTAATTTCTCCTTTCCTGCATGTTTCTGCTTTCTTTTATATTCTCCTCACTTCCCTGTAGCAATATTCAAATGAAAAACCATTTTATAACTCCTGCAAGTCTTCTGTTTCTAGAGCTAAAATAAAAGACAAAAAATGTGATTCAGTGTTATCCCTATGTTGAGCTGATACATGAAAGATGCTTTAGTATCATCCATGTAGTATACATTGTTGGATGCAATACAACATCACAGAGATTTTAGTAGTGACCTTTTGATGACTTCTGTGAAAAAGCCAGGTGTTAAGAGTATGTTTCTGTCATACTGTGTGCACAAACTAGTGTACACAGTGTTTTAGTCTGGAAACGGAGATGGTCTCCTATGCTTCTACATTGTGTTGCTACAGTGCAAAATCATGAGGTGCACCCTAAAACTATGCTTATTTTCAGTAATAGCAGTTACAAAAGTTTGTAGATGTGAGGGATTTGAAAATACCTAGTTGAGCTTAAGAAATTTAATTTAATTTTTTTTGAATATTCAAGTGTATTTTAAAGTTTGAACCTGCTATTAAGATAAAATTGTACTTCTCTTGAACCATCTTTTTCAGAGCTTGGCAATGGAAAGTCAGACAGGCTGTTTTGAATCAAGTGATCTTACTGCCAAACATAAACCATCCCATTTACCAGAAAAAGCCTTATTACAGGTTTGTGGTAGTTGGTGTAATTTTTAATGTGTATATTTCATAGTGTTTATTATGCTTTGTTGAAAAGGGTGTTTGTGCAGTGGAAAGGAAGGTTCCTGTTTGCATTGTTCACTGTGAGTCAGGTGGAATCCTCTGAAGGATGGCAATGGTATTCTTTCCCTCAATGTCACCTGATCGTATTCTGCATGTCCCATCCTGACATCCAGAAGCTTCTCCAAGCTGAGACTGAAAGAGAAAGAGAGAGATTTAATTTTATACTCTGTATAAAACAAACTATGTGCTACTTTAGTGGCTTAGCAGAAAATACTGGTATCTTCCATTTCTAGAGCAATTCCATCTCTGAGGTCTAGAGCTGAAAAGCAAGGTAGTTTGCCAGTTCAGACTTCAGTCCCATCATAATTTATATTTTAATGTGAGTTTACAAAGAGAATGAAGTAGGAAGTGAGAAGTGAGACTAGGAAGTAAGAATTCTACTCATCTGAATAGGAAATAATGACCTAAAAGAATAAAAAAATAGAAAAATACATAATTTACACAAATTTCAAGCTATATTCCTATGATCCATAAATAAATAAGTCAGTGTAGAAAGAGGAATTATTTTTGTTTTTCTGTATTTAAATAGTATTTGCATAACTAAAAGCCAAATCCAAAAGGTAGAGCTAAGGAAGTTGTATGTCAAAAGAAATTAAAACTGATTATATCAGTGCAGTGAAAAATCACAAGAGGTAATTAAATGAAAAACAACACTAGGGTAAGGTGGATATATCAGAAAATGTTAGTCAAAACTTCATTGTAGTAGTGACAATGTTTAATTTTTTAATAGAGTGTGATCAATATCTGTTGGATTTTGAGAAAACAATAAATAACAATAACATTTTCTGAATATTTTCAAATCTGCTGATTAATTAAAAAGGTCTTTAACTAGCAGTATGCCCATTCAGGAATATGCTTTTTCTTACAGTTATTTTCTTGTGACTGAGCACACAGGTAAAGATGAAGAAATGTAAAAATTCTGTATCTTAAGCAGTATACATGTGTAAATTTGTACTCCTAAAGACAAGATATACAAACTAGTGTCTGTACACATTTTCACATATCCCTATATGTAATATCTGCCTGTTCATTGAGCTAAATCAAATGTACTTTTTTATTCTTACTTGTATATAGAAAATAATTTTAAAATATTTTTTTTTCAGTCCTGTTTTCTTATGGTAGTGTCCCTCTGTTTCCCCCTCTTTACAGCACAGGAAATTAAAAAGTTTTTAGTACGTAACATAATATTATTTCTGGGAAGAACCTGTCCAGTTCACTAAAGGATCTAAAAATGTAAAATGAGCTTAGGTAGGAGTTTATCACCTAGATGTAAAATTGATATCCTTAAAATTTTCATTCTGTATCATTTAACTGTGAAAATGCTCAAGGTTTCAATATTCATGTTCCTCAGAACTTGAAGTTTTGCTGAGGATCTTGGACCCACAGCATTAACTGGAGGGAAGCTGTCCCAGCCTTCCTGTTACTCCCATTTACCCTTTCTTGCCCCAGCACTGTTCTCCCCTTTGTGTTCATTTACAGTAATTTATATGAACCACATCAGGGAACAGAACTGTCTGAAAAATTTTCTTCCATTTTCTTCGTTTTCTGAATCAGTCAACGGCTGGATCCGTTCCTTAATCCAACTCATTGTGTGGCTGCACGAGCAGTTATTTGGGCACACGGGAGGAGATGGGCAACATGTAGTGGGAAAATGGGTGAAGTGAGAGTGGGTATGCCTGTTTTTGCAGGTGCAGGCTGGTCACTGAACTGTGGTGCCTCTAGGCTAAGCTTACCGAGGTGTGACAATGAAACATGTCTCTCCCTTTCTAGCCTGAGAGTCCATAGGCAGTTTTAGAGCAAACAGGGTATAGCAGTTGCTGGGTTTTTTTTTTTTTTTTTTTCAGTGTAAAGGAAGGAGGAACTATTAGTACCATCCTTCTAGGCACAATTTCAAAATTTGGTCCCTTCACCATCTGTGGGGAAATGTGAATTAAGTTTTTGCCTTTATCAAAGAAGTCCACTCACTGCTCTGAAGGCTTCACTGAGCCCACAGAGCTGTCAACTGGCAGTTTGCACACAGAGAGTGAGGCGGAGGTAGGAGCAGGTCTTTCTGGGAACCCTCCTCATACATTCTAAGAGGAGAAAGAAGCAGCCACAAAATTTCATCCAGTCTATCATCTCCCCTCTTTTTCAGTCTGTTCCTGCCCCCTGCTTTCCCCCAACCCCCAACCAAGCAACAAAAATGCCAGAAACGAAACGCCACCCACTTCTGTCTTGAACAGAATGAAAAGAATAACATTAATTTGAGATAGTGAGAACATAGATTTGGGATATAATTGAGGAAAGTAGCCAAAGCAAGAACAGAGGATTCTGTGTGGTAACTGGTGGGTGTGGTAGACAGGGTTTGCCACCTTGCTTCTCCTTTTTTTTGGGTGCACTGGTGAGACAAACTGAGCCATCCTGGAGTATGCTGCGAGTGCTGTGGTGCACAAGGGCACAGCAGTTTCCTGTTCTTCCCAGGGAGCTATCCCAAGAGGAGTTGGGCCACAGGGAATGTGAGCTGGTTCTCTTGGATTATGTTGGAGTATGGAGGGTTAAAGCCTGGAATCAACAAAAGACAACAGCAAAAAAAGGGGAGCAATGGGGTCCATTGCTTGTGTGCCCTGGAGGAGACCCTCGAGTATGTAATGTGCAAAAAGGGAACAAAAATTATTACAGAGAAACAGGAAGCCTACTGAAATGCTTCTATTCTGTATTTAAAAAGAATGCAGCTCCCTTGATCCAGACAGTATGGCTGTCACCTGGTTTCTTTTTCTTGAGCTGTCACTATTTTATTTGATAGAGGAAGTGCAGAAAGAGCTTTTCCGTTTGCTGGCACATACCAGAGCTTCCCACTAGCTGAGTGCCTAACCATTTGCTGCAGAAATGAGAAGCACTCTTGCTTGCTTTCCCTCTTTCTGCCTTTCCCCCTTCCTTTCTCCCTTTTCTCCCTGTCTCCCTTCCTCGCCTCTTTTTCTCTTTCTTCCTTTCTTTCCCTCTGTGAATCCTCATGCTCTTTTTGGTGGACGAGCTTGGAGATACCATCTCCTTCAACAGGAGATAGTTACCGGGTGCTGTCTCCTCCAGGCCAGATCTGCATTTGCTCTGACCATTCACAGGCTGTGGGAAATCAAGTGTGCTTGAACTTCTCAAAGTTTTGGAACTTGTGATAAGGAGACTTTATTGCCTCTGGCACTGTAGATGTTATCTGACAGTGGATCACTTCAAAATGACAGCATATTTAGTAAATATAATTATTAGTATGCTATCATTTATTGCAGCTTTCTGTTCTGCTCCTGTGCAAAAAAAAAAATCTGTCGGTTTGTCTTAACAACTAGGATAAAATCTGTCCTCAGGGCCAGCTTGAAACCATTTGCTTTGTAAATTACAGTTTCCTAAAAAAGTCAGGGATACCACAGTATCCTAACCTTGAGTTATTGACAGAAAATGATTGCTGTGCTTTAAAGCTGGTTACTGTGGTCTTGACCTAATGTGAAATAAATGTTTCTACAGACCTTTTTGGAACAGAAAATTCAAAAGATTGCTAGCAAGAGAGTGTAAAATTAAAAGTCTTGATTTTGTTCTTTTAATATTAAACTAAACCCTGTTAATTAATAATAAGACAGTCAATATTTTTTCTCATTTTAACAAGTCATACAGTTCCATTTATTAGAATACTTTTTGTGAGCTGTGTCAAAATTCCTTCGAGTTTTAAATTAGATTGTGTTTTGAAGTTAAGTAAATAATCCACATGTCCAAATTAAACAGACTTTTGGTTAGAGAAGACTGTGATGGATCCAGCTATAATCAACATGGGACACAAGTCTTTGAAGGAATGAGGTGTGCAGAAGGAATTTGCTATTAAGAAGGGCCTACACATCTCTGTACTTCAAAAAATCTTTATAAGCCCCCAAATGCATTCTGAACCACCTAAATATCTTTAAAATTAGTATGGCTATAGCAAGCTTCCAAGCTTCCAGAATAAAAAAATCATAAATCCTCACTTTTAATATAGTTTTAAGTAGTTTATGAGGTGAATATAAACAGGTTATAGGACAGCAATGTATACAGAGTAGCCGGCAGGTTGCTTGAATGTATTACTTGTATAATTAACTGCTAGTGGAAAAAGACACATTATCAGTAATTTTCCTGCCTGACATGTTCTTTTCGAGCTGAAGAAACTACAGCCTTCGGGAAGTTCCTGTAGGTTGAAACAGAGAATCTTTTTAAATCTTGGTAGAATACTCTTGATATTTCTGCTTTTTTCTTTTAATTGAACTTAATCTCTGTGATAAAAATGGATTCTAGCTGATATGTTTTTTGATCCTATTCATTCCAGTAGAACTGCAAAGAACATAATCAGGATAAAAGTTTATCCTGAGGAAGGAATACTTCCTTTAGTTAAGCATCCTTTTTATTACAACTTCCCTTTTTGATTCTAACAGTTTTTTAGTGACTCATCTGTTAAAAAGAATATTTCAGTATAGCCAAGATAACCTCCACTTTGGTAATTCAGGCACTCTACGCTTACACTGGTAGTCACTCTTTCTTCACTTCTTAGCTACATTGATTACTAGAAGTGAAACAAAATTTGCATTATTTCCCTACTTTTACAGAGGCTTTATGTGTATTGCTTCTGAGTACAACACTTGTTTGAGTCTCAAAGCCTCTATTTGACTCAAGATTTCTCTTCTGTTTTGTATAGTTTGAGTGAACTCTGTACAGAGTATGCATTCATTTTTTTTTGAGCATATTTCAAGTCATACTTCATATACTGCTATAATGAAAAACAGATTTTATGGTATGCATTCTTGTTTGGGAAGTTGTATAACTATTATAGAACTTATCGTTTATAAAATACAGTAGCATCTCTGCTATGTTCTTGCTCTGACATCTTACAGGTGCATCTTATAGTAATATATATCTTAAGTGCTAAGCTCTTTGAAAATTTATATTAAGAAGAAAAAAATTGACTTCATTGACAGGTTATGGGCTAAAATTACAAAGTCCTTTTCATTTTTTGCTATGAGCCAGTTACCATGCTGGGTTTAAGTTGTTGCCATTGATGTGTTACTGCGCAGTTATGAAAATAATTACACTACAAGCATAAAGTTTTCTTTATATAAAGATTGCTTTAGGAAAAATGATGTGGAATTTTATTAACTGTATTCCTTTCAGATGATTTCTTTTTCATACTTAGAACTGCACATTTTAAGTGTTGCATTTCATACCAGATACTTGTATTTTAGCATATGATACGGTAATTCAGTTCTGCAAATGATTATGGATATGGGAGTTTTTACTATGTAAATAATCCAGCTGTCTTATATAAAATTCTGCATATGCTCTTTGAGTGCATTCTACATATTCAGATGGTTGTAATATAATGCATAGTTGCTTCTATAGCAGAGACAGTACATTTTACCATATTTTCCCTCATTTCATTTTACCAAGTTTCTTCTAAGATGAAACATTAGCATTCTGTTGGCAGAAATACTGTTTGACACAATCATAAAAATGGCAGGTGAGGAGCTAAGGCAGAAGCTTGCTAAATGTTATCTTCATTCAGTCTCTTACTTTTATGGCCTGAGATTGCTTTGTCTAAGATTATTTACCAGGACAAGACCTTTTGGGAATGCTGGAATTTAATTTTGCAAGATGTTGCTTAGTGGCAGCAGTGTATTTTAGAATATTTAATTCTGTAAAATGAACTACGAGTATACCTTTTGTATTTTTTTTCTATGATAATAGCACACATTGACTTTAATATTCCAAGATTAAAGATTTAGCGATGTATTTATCAAATTGTACTAGTTAAATTAGAAAGACCTCTACCATAGAAACTACAAAAACCATTTATAGGCAATTTAAAGTTGTATTTAAAAGCACTATATTTAAGGTACAAAGCATTAGCCTGAGTTATATTGTCTCAAATAGGTTTAGGAGAAGTATTTTAACAAGTGTTGTTTTCATATAGAAGAAATGAAACTGCTTATAGTCCTTGAAAAATCTTTTGTTTTGAAACATCCCTGTCATTCTCTATTATAGCTTGAATTTTATGAGCTTTTAAGCAAAGCTGTCTTTTCATGCTTTTTATTAAGGCTGTTAATGAGAGTAATTATTGACATTCTGCTTTAAAAGGTAAGTTTAAACTCCTAAAAAGGAAATATTCAATTTGGAAATAGCTCTTGTTGTTTGGGATAGGTGAGTATGTATCATTTGGTACAGCAGTACTTCTTACTGAATAGTTTTTAATATCATGTACGTGTCTTTTTCTGACTTAGGTTTTCCGTTATGTAAACTTAGTTGATCTGGCAAGATGTGCTCAAGTTAGCCAGACATGGATGCTGCTAACTCAGAACAGTTCATTATGGAGTGATGTAAGTAAAATAATCAGTTTCAATACATTATTTCAATTTATTTTTTAAAAGATTAAGGCAAGGAGGTAGTTTACTTTAAGAATGCTAGGTATCTAGGAGAAAAGTTTTATCCTAGAATATTACTTGTTCTACTCAGCTGCATGAATTAAAAAATAGGAATAACTCAAGTGTACTTGTCTGTTTTATATCATTATAAATCAGTGGAACTGAAAGAGAATCGGCCACTGAAGCTTGGCTATAGCCCACTAAATTTAGACAGTTAAGTGAGGTGTCATAGGCTCCCTAGGGAATCTAAACAACCTCTATATGACTAATGTGGAAGGAGAAGGTAAACTCAGTTACAGATACTCTGTAGCAAATACTTGCATTTGTTCTAGAGAGCTTCCTGCCATCCCTGGAGCAAGTGGTGCAGACCAGCTCACTTCCCTACTCATCAACTCCTGGGGCTGTTGGAGTGCTCACTGTGTCTCCACAGCACATGTCAGTGTCCAAGGTACTGCTGTTTCTTCTACTTTAGCAGTCCAATCCTTGGCACACTCATTTCAGTCAGTTTGCCTTTTAATGCAGACGGTGTGACCATGGTTTGTCTGAGGCCACACCTGAAATAGCTTCTCTGCCTTTGCCTTGAACTTAAAATCACACTGCTTGTTACTATTGCCCTCAGTAGTGCGCGTGAGGCTTCAGGTGTGAAGGACTATCTCAAGGCTCCCCAGTCTGTAGGCAGTGGTTTAAGACTAGCCATGGCACCTCAGCAAATACTCCTGTTGCCTCTGTATCTTTGCCTCACATATAGCTCTTTATCAGCAGTGCAGAGAAAGATTAAGGCCAAATTTTAAAAAATGTATAGGCACTTCAAACATGACATAGTCACATTTTAGTCTCTCAAAAAGACGCTGTGCATCTTCTGTCATCCCCTGGGGTTGTCTAATCTGATAGGCATCTACTTTTTGGACCTACGAGTTCATGATGATGGTGATCAAGGAGATTGTTCTCTTTTCTCTAAGAGCTGGGTGATTTGTGGAGTTTTGTGTGAGGGTGCAGAAGGGCTGGGAGCCAAGGGTGCTAGAAAGGCAGGCAGGGGCAGTTCCCCCACCACTGGCATTGCTCTGGAGCGCTCAGCTTACATCTCACACTGCTTACATCTCCTACTGTCTGGTTCTAGGCAGCTGTGTGAGTTTCTTCAAACTGACCTTCTCATGTACATAGCTACTAGTTATATTTTGTAGAGTCTCTGCTCAGATTTGAATTGTTGAAACTACCCTGGCCACCAAATCCTAAAAAGACACTGTAGTGCCCAGCTTGTAGGTGCCTGGAGCCTTTATCAGGTTTAGTCTTAAGTTACTGTGCTGAGTTCATGATCTTAATGAAACTAGGATGAAAAGTTCTGATAATTTTAATGCAAGAAGAACAAAATCTTAATAAGAAAGCGAAAAACTGCGCAAAGTTTTGAACTCCTGGCTTCATGGTTCTGTAACCACTTCCAAGCATTCTGCACAGAAATAATGGTCTGGATTTTTCAAAGTGTTTTGGTAATAAACGTGTATTGTGAAACGTACAACAAACAAATGCACTGTACCTGTAGCAGATTATACAAAAAGGTAAAAAAAAAATCTGTCTTTGTATTAACAAATCTAAAGAAGGCATGAAAAAGAACTTCTGAAGAAAAGGAGATACTTATTATTAAATGTTTGTATTTTGGTTTTCCTGCTTTTTTTGAAAAATTCAGCACATAGACTGTTAAAACTATATTCTAGTAATTTTTATTAATGCTTCCTAAACTTGAAATTCTGACAGATATTAAGAAAAATAATGTTTTTAGTCAAATATATCTTCAATATATCCTCAGCCTGCAGCTTAATTACTTGAGGAGTCTTCCACTAAAACTAAGATGGTAGATTACATAGGCTTGATATCTTGATGGGTTAGTAGACCCTTAACTAAGAAAAAAAGTCTTTAGGAACTGTAGGATTTTATGTATCTTAAAGGGAAAAAATAAAGTTTAAAAAAAAAATTTAAAACCTAACAGTTTTCTTTGCACATAATCTTCTGACATGTATTTTGGCAGTCCAGGACTTGCCTCAGCTTCATAAAAACTACAGACATCCTTCCTCTACACTTAACTATTTTTAATCAGCTGTCCAGAATTTTTATGTATGCAATACACAGACATTTCTGTGTTTTCCAGACTGTTGATTCAGTGTTTACATAGAACTTGATGTACTTACTGGTGATTTTCATAATCATGTCTATTTCGTATGTACGACCTATTTTCAGTACTGAATTATACATCAATCGTTTAAATTTTTAGATCAACTTTTCATCAGTGAAGCATAAAGTTCAGGACCAAACAGTAATAAATATTTTGCAGAAGTGGTGTCCGTATGTATTACGTTTGAATCTTCAAGGTTGCCATTCTCTTCACTGGCCTAGCTTTAAAAGTATCTGTAAGTATTACATGTATTTTAAAATTTTTAATTCTCTCTTTAAACTGTGTTTTCACTCTGTGCTTTGCTACTGTTTTGTTTTACTGCCTATACTCTTCTCTATATGTCCAGCCATAATGAAATGATGTGAGTATGAGATCTGTAAAATTACTTTAAATGTGGGCCCCTTTCCATCAGGTTGCCCAGGACCATGTCCAGATGGCTTTTGAATATCTCTGAAGGGTGGAAACTCCACAGCAACCCTGGTCAACCTGTGCTCAGTCACCTTCACCGTAAAAAAGTGTTCCCTCATGTCCAAATGACACCTCCTGTGTTTCAGTTTGTGCCCACTGCCTTTTGTCTCATCTGTCACTGGGCACCACTGAAAGAACCTGGCTTCATCTTCTTTGCACGGACCCTCTAAGTATTTATGTGCGTTGGTGAAAGCCCCCTGAGCCTTCTCTTCTCCAGCTGAAGTTACAGCTCTGTCAGCCTTTCCTCATAGGAAATATGCTCCAGTCCCTTCATCATCTTTTTGCCCTTTGTTGGACTCTCTCCAGTATGTCTTGTGTCTCTCTTGTACTGGGGAGCCCAGAACTGGACACGATACTCCAGATGTGGCCTCACTAGGGCTGAGGAGAGGGGAAAGTACCTCCATTGACCTCCTGGCAACACTCCTAATGCAGTCCAGAATAGCATCTATCATCTTTGTGGAAGGGCACATGGCTGGATCATGTTCAGCCTGCTGTCCACCAGGACTTCCAGGTCCTTTTCTGCCAAGCTGCTTTTCAACTGGGCTGCCCCCAGCCTGTACGAGCCTGGGCTTGTTCCTGTGCAGGTGCAGGACTTTGTGCTTCCCCTTGTTGAGCTTCATGCAGTTCCTGCGAGCCTATTTCTCCAGCCTGTCAAGGTCCCTCTGGAAGGCAGCATGACCCTCTGGCCACTGCTCCCAGTTTGGTGTCATCTGCAGACTTGCTGAGGCTCCATTCTATTTCATTGTCCAGAGAAGCATTAAGGTTGGAAAAGATCTTGCAGCTCATCAAGTCCAACTGTCAACCCAACACTACCGTGACCGCTACTGTGTCCCAAAGTGCCACATCTACATGCTTTTTGGGCACCTCCAGGGATGGGGACTGCACCACCATCCTGGGCAGCCTGGTCTAATACATCACCACTCTCCCAGTAAAGAAATTCCTCCTAATATGCAAATGACCTCTAGAGTATACCACTCAACAAGAGGCTCACAGACAAAAACAAAAAAAAAGGAAGAAAACCAAGCATGGTCCCAGATATTAGTGTGGTGTTCAAAGTTGTAACTGTCATGGTTTAGGGTCAGGACCACCCCTGGACCTGTAACAGATGCTCTCTGTTAATCCCTCTCCCCCCCAAAGGGGAAGAGAAAGGGATTAAGGGAGACTTATTTATTAGAAAAAAAAGTAAAATAGCTTTAATGAAAATAATTCCAATACTAATAAAATGGAATATATAAAAATATTTATACAAAGCCAGTTTTGAACTCAGCTCCCCCCTCATGGCAACACGTCACCATCACCCCTGGCTAGGGAGCAGCCCCCAGGGAGAAGTCCCAGCCTGGACTCAGCCACAGAGGGAGACTGGGCACAGGAGCTGGGTTCTGGAACTTGGTTCAGGAACACAGGGCTCAGGATCAAAGGCAGGATGGACAAAGTTCTCCTCAGATGCTGGCCATTGAAGGAGCAGCAAATAGGAGGAAGGAAGGGGCTTGACCCTTGTGATCCTTCAGCTTTATACAGAATATGACAGCTATGGGATGGAACACCCCATTGCTGAATTTAGAGTCACTTGTCCTGTCCGCTCCTCCCTGCAGGTGCAGCCTTTACTTTCTGCCCCCCTCTGTGTGCTACACAAGATTTAGCAGGGACCTTGGTCTGCACAGCAATCTTTGGTAGTAACTCTAAACGTGGAGTGTTATCACTGCTAGAACCAGACACTGTCTGTGAAAATATTCTGCTAAATTCAGAAAGTGCAGTTAGTTAAAAGATGTTCCTTTAGCTGAAAAGTAAAATCACTGAACAGAATTAGTTTTGTTCTACCCCAAAGCAGGACATTAGCACAAATAATAAGTACTTGATTCTACTGCCAAAACAGAGTCCCTCTGGGTGTAGAAAAGCATCTTAGTCCTTTCTGATAGTACATGTGGAAGTACAAATGACCATGTGATCAGAGGGTAATTCCCTCTGTGACAGGACATGGCAATAGGTTCAGGTCAGTAACGTTTTCCTCAGTGCAGTTGTGGGCTCCATGCTGCAGAGAAGCAGGCAGGAAGAACAGAAGCCCTTATGAGCAGTGTTAGAGGCTCAGTGCTAGCTGTGAGAGTGTGCTTAACTTGATAGGAGTTACCTGCATCCTGCTACTCAGCCATCTTATCATGGAAAGCATTAACACATCATTGTAGTGTTCTCATGAGAAGAAATCTCTTCTGCTATGACTAGGCAAGACCCCAAGAAATGTTTTTTGTTCCTGGCACAGCTTCACTTCAGCAGAAGAATGTTACTGATTGACTCTTTTCTAGCCTACACTTTAATTGAATACAAATGCATAGCAAAGAAGAGGAAAATGTTTTCATTTTCCAAAAAAAAAAAAAAGTGCATTTAAATGTTTTGAGACTATAATGCATTTATTATTTAATAAGATAATTGAAAAATTGAAACTGTTGGTGCAGCCTATAGCAATTTCAGTGTGTTTTCTTTTGTTTTAGAAAGTGACTGTGTAGTTATGGGTGAGAACAATTTGCTCTCTAGAGTGGTAGTGGAAGAGAACAAATGGCCAAGAATAAAAAGTATATTTGATCATGGTCTTGGCTTTTAAATCACAGGGTAAAAAAACTTTGTCAATGATATCAGCATGCAAGTTGTTTAGTCAAATAATTTAATTTAATATTAAAATGAAGTTTGGCAGGTTATAGAGAAAGCAAGCCAACATAAATCAAACACAGCCACATCACCTCCATTGTGGGGGCTATTTTTCAAAATGTTAACCTCTTTTATGATTTTGTTTACCTTATGTATTTGAGAACAAAACTAAAACCATAGAAATGTTTACTGTGGTTAAAGATAAAAATATGTAAAGAACAGTTGCAGTAAAATTAAATTTTACATACACACTGACTTTTCTATCACATTGCTCAACTGATTGTATCAAGTTAAAATAATTTAACATAGAAGTATCAGCATGGTGGTTATATCAGTTGGAATATCAGTATGTTGACTGACATCCATTTCCATTTATCTTACATATCAAAGACACTAAATTCAATTTGTGTATCTACAAACTATGTTTTCTATTTTTGTTGATAATTCATTTTCTGTAGGCTCAAAATCAAAGATTATGTCCATTTACATCTACTCAGTGCTATTAATTTTAAACTAAGTGTGATTAATTATGTATTATGGTCCACAGGGTCTTTTAGAAAATATTACGAGGCTGCTTCTTCTAATGTTGAAGATACCCAGTGGTTCCTTTTAAGAATGAAACAGTTATATCAGTGTACTATTGCTTATTTAGATTAGTAACATATTTCTTGTTAAAACTCATTGATACTTGCGCCATTCTTTTGAAACTCCTGTGGATGATTTCAAATTGCTGTGAAATTATCTTTCTGAGTGATTGAAAATCATATTGAAATTCTCTTCCTCTGACATTTCTTCAGCTAACAAACTGCACCAAACTGTCTGTTCAGTTATAGCCTACAGATGTGATGAACCTTTCCATTCGAACTTCCCCAAGCTACAGTTCTGAGCTCATCTTTCTGAACAGATCCAAGATTACACACGTTTTGGCAACATGTTTTTATTGTTAATGGTAAATCAGCAATGCTGTTAACCAGGGTTTAGGTCTGTTTAGCTGGCTAATCATGGTAAGTGGTTTTTTTTGTAAATTAATTAGCAGCCAGTTTTAAGAATTGCTGTTATGTACTGCAACTTTGGTATGTGGTGTGTGCGCATCAGATATAGTCGTTGTTTAATGTCTACACATGAATGTTATATGATGCCAGCTCTGACTGTCTTTGGCAAATGAACGTGTAATTGTGCCAAAGAAAAATGAGTGTATGAGATGCAGGGGTTACAGCTCAGCTGTTTGTGGTGTTACTCCACCCACTCAGTGATCTTAGAGAATTGTTTGACTTCCATCTGTGACTGGGAACTGCATTTAAAAGCTGCCATTCCTGTTCATAGTACAGGAGCTAAAATTTCCTCAGAAGCTTTTCAAGTCTTTTATTCCCAGTAGTGTTAACAGTTTTAACAGACCTATCCGTTTTTCCTTCACTCTGTCATGGCAAAGCAAGGCACAAAATAATCTTTTCTGTCTTTCATGTTTGCTGTGCAGAGAAGGGGGCACTGCTTCTGTGGGGTACCGTAGTTTATCCCTAAGACAGCACTCCTAGTACATATACTGCATATCAGGAAGACAATGCACTATCATGCAGTTGTTTCCTGAGTATGGACAGAGAAAGAAGGGGAATCAAGTGAGAAATTACCAAAAGAAAGGAATTCTAAAGCATATGAAGGAAAAGGAAGGCCCATGATTTTCTTTTAGATATGGAAGTGCTTCTGGGTTTTTTTGTGATTAAGTAGTTCAGAAACAAAGAAATGTCAACATTAAATTGTAGTTTGTGACTGTGGTGTTTCATGGAGGGTGTACTTTACAGTGCATATTGGAGAAGCTCAGAGAAATAACAACCCTGTAATGCTTAAGGTTTTATCTACTGTTAGTAGTTTCCCCCATTTGTATGTTTTTTAAGTATATTATTGTCTTTTTCCTTGGGCAGCCTCCTTCTGTAATATGATTATTCCTGTATATTTTTCCTGTTCATACAGTCTTTTCTCAAAGAATTTGCTACTAGGCACTGTCAGGATAACATAGCCCAGATTGCTCTTGCCCCACTCTAGTAGTTTTGTTGTTCTGTTCTTGTATTATTTGCAATTGCAATTACTCTCTGTTCTGCAACATCCTCAGTATGGGTGTCTGAAAACGCCAACATG